GGGGGGGGGGGAGGGTAATAGAGAACTTAACTAATTTAAATGAATTTGAGTCTCCAGAGTCACATGGATTATGTCCCAGAATACTGAAGAACCAACCAGAGGTGACTACAGAACCACTCTCAGTAACCTTTGAGCAATACTGGAGGAGAGCAAATGTTATCTACATCTTCAAGCAGGAAGATGACGACAACTTGGGAAACTACAGACTTTAATGTCTACACTAGGCAAGGATCTCAAATAGGTCATCAAGCAGCATGTCTATGAGCATCTGGACAGGCATGCTACAGTTAAAAAGAACAAGCATGGGTTTGTCACCAATCATGTCAATTTTTTCTTTGATAAACTAGCTTACTAGATTGGGGAATACATACACATATTCTTAAAATTGTAACTACATGGATAAATGATGCTGTTAGATGGACTTATACATAATTGGCTGAATGGCTGCACCCGAACGGTGCTCATTAATTATTCTACTTCAGCTTGGAGGAAATTATCAAGTGGAGCCATTCAGGGCTGTTCAATATTTTTATCAATGACTTGGGTGAGGGAGTTAATGGGACTCTCATCAAGTTTGCAGATGATATAAAGCTGAGATGCATGGCTAATACTTCAGAGGAGAGCGAGCTTAAAATGATCAAGACAGGCTTGAACAGTGAGCTAATATGAATAGAATGGATCTTTAATGAAGAAATGTAAAGCTCTGCATCTAGGCAGGAAAAATGTGAAGCACAAACGTAAGATGCAGGAGACTAGTAGTAGTACATGTGAAAAGGATCTGGGTGTCCTTGTCAACTAAAGTTAAACATGGGTCAGCAATGTGATACAACTGCTAAAACAGCACGTGCTATCTTGGGATGCATAAATAGGAGCATAGAATCCAAGTCATGGAAAGTAAATATTCCATTCTACTCTGTCCTAGCCAGATCTATCTGGAGTACTGTGACCAATTCTAGACAGCAAAATTGAAGAAAGGACAATGAAAAATTGGAACAAGTTCAGAAGAAGCCACTAAGATGGTAAAGAGTCTGGGAACCAAGCTCTATGAGGAATGATTAAAAGATCTGGATATGTTTAGCCTATAGGAAAAAAAAATAGGAGTACATATGATGGTCTTCAAATATCTGAAGAATTGTCATGCAGAGGGAGTGGACTTAATAGATTGTCACAGAAGGCACAACCAGAACCAATGGGTTAAAGCTACAAGGAAGTAGACATCTAGATATCAGGAGGAACTTCTTGACTGTATGAACTGTCAACCAGTGGAATGGACTGCCACATGAAGTGGTAAGTTCTCCTTCAGAGACTGGATGGGTATCAGAGATGCCCCAATAGGTTTTGCACTGAGCAGGGAGCTAGATTAGATTTCCTTCAACATTCCTTCTAACTTTTTGGTTCTATACATCCACATAAAAAATTACTGGTCATCAGTATTCAATTATCATATGGGGGAACAATGAATCGTGTTCACACTATATAGTCAAATTAAGTGTGTAACATCCATTCTGAACAGAAAAATTCAAGACATGCAAAATATCAGACATCAGTTAGACAAGAGAATGCATGTCTTTCTTGCTGCTTAAATTAAACTTTTAATTATGCTCACATGTATGCTATTTTATGTAATTCTGAATACTAATTACCTAATTATTATAAATTACAGGAAGTGTGTATAACAGAGCTATGCAATGCTTCATCATAGCACCTATCAATAACTCTTTAAAACAATCACTTCTTTTCCAAGGATTATATGGTTGCTTTAAGGTGTTGCAGACCTTATATTCATGATCCCACATGCTCTGAAGCATCTTTTCCAAATTATTTCAGAAGTACTGTATAGGCATTATGAAGAGGCCTCTAGTGTACTTAAGTTTCCTATTCATATACACTTCTAAACCTCAACCTTTTTGAATAGTTTAGTATTGTGGCAAAATTAGATAAATTCTGCCAGCTCATTTTATTTTTATTAAAGACAATGGCCCTGTTCCCAACAAATGAAGATTACATTAATACGTTATACAAATATCAAGAAGGGTTAATTGATGCTGTCAACCAATCCAAAGTTATTAGTTTAATTGTATAAAAGACTGGATGAAGTCAATTCTAGTCAAAAGCAGGCCCAATCAGCTGTATCATGAGAATTTCCAAAATCTCATGAATTGCCTTATTTTGCCTAACTAGTTTTCCAAAAAAAAAAAAAGTCCTAGAAAATGGAGAATCATGGAGAAAGTAAGCCTCTTCATAGTAAATGGTCTGAGGGAAAGATGACCTGATGATTTTTTGTGTGAGATGTAAAGAACTTAGATTCTTTTGTTAACTACCCATTTCAGAAGAATGAATAAATTATATTACTGCTAATATTAAAATAATGGAAATTTTATTTGAATGAAAAACTTGAGTTTACAATCAGTTATTAAGTGAAGAATGAACAATTTGCATTTTTCTATTCCATGACAACATATGAAAAACCTCTCAGTAAATAAATATTTCTGTGAACAGATTTAAGATAAGGCATCTGTTTAAAAGATAAAGCCCATATCAGTTGTTCCTGACCCTTCAACATGGCTCACATCAAATCATGAAAAAAAAAACATTCACTGGATAAATCTGAAAAAAGTAGGCTGTTGGATCACAACCCAAAAGTCCCAGTGGCAAGAACATTGTGCTCATTCATAAGAGAACAAGTTAAGTAAGCTATTACCTCTATTCAGAACAAACTATTTACATTTTGCTGAATAGAAAGTCTCTGAAAGAAGCACTCTGTTAGAGTCAACATAGTGCACCCAGACTATAAAAATGGCTTTGAGAATATTTTTTGTCCACCATTTATAAAGTGCCACTATCAATTTTAAGTCTGCATTTTGCCCACTGAGTACCAAAATACTGAATAAACCATAACTTCCAAATCCTGCTGTTTTTGATAAGTTTGAGGCTAAGAACAGTCCACCATACAACCAATACCACAAAAGCTACTTACTGGGAAACAAATGCAGGTATGTAACTGAACCTCATGATGTTACATATGTACTCCTACAAACCATAATCAGATCCCACTTTGGTCTTTGTTAAGTCCATACTGCAATATCCTGAAACATTTTATGTTCATTTCACAATGGAGAGAAGCTGGAATTGCAGTGCAGTATGAGCTCATTACAGCATCTTCAATTTTTTTATAATAGCATGCTTTTGTTTAACCAACAGTTTGGATCAGAGTGGCAAGTTCTGTCCTTCAGGATCCATATCACTGTTGCTGGGCTGAGGATGAATTGGTAGAATATCTAGCTCATCCACCTGGGGAGTGGGGTGCATCACCACCAGCTGGTCCTGGGGAATGTCTGCTGCAGCTGCTGCTAGGTTGGTAATTGATTTACTTTTCACACACTGGAAGTCAACATGACGACTTTTCCCTTCTTCCTTCTCCCATGACATCCTTATGAAAGGTCTTTGGACATAATTATAGATTACCTCTGGTCTCCCACCAGGTCGCTTCTTAACTTTTTCTTTGTACGTAGGGTAACCTAAAAGAAATAACCAATAAAATTTATAATTTCATTCAACATCTGAGGACTCTGAGATAGAATACAACTTTCTTTTCAACAAACTATTTTATTTACTCAGCATATTTTAAGGTGTGTCATTCTGTAATCATTCCTTCTTCCCCCTTTTCACTGCAGTTTTGTTGACACTCTGTAATTTCAAATCCCTTTTGTAAGTACATTCACATCACAAGAGATACACCATATGTTCTATGCTGAAATTTCAAGCTATGTTCTGTATAAGAATAAGCCTTAAACTTAAGCATAACTATAGTTTACCAAGATAAAACATGGTATTGAAAAAAGGACAACACGGTTAGTGGCTGCCAAGGCCTATTTCTTTTTTTGAAGTCACTACGTTCTAGTTATTACAGGTGGTCCTCGTTTAACAACCACTCATTCAGCAATTGTTTAAACTTACAACAGTGCTGAACAAGGGGTACTTACCCTCAAGTAAGTCCTCAAGGCTGCAGCATCCCTGCAGTCACATGATCACCATTTGCGACCTTCACTGCTGGCTTCTGACAAGCAAAGTCAATGGGGAAGCTGGCAGGAGGTCGCAAATGGCAACCATGTGACCTCGCGCTTAATGATGGTGTGGGATTTGCTTAATGACAGCAACCAGAAGTGCCGGAACTGCAGTCACTAAGTGGCATGGTTAAGTGACGTCATGCTTTATGACCACATCATTTAGTGACAAATTCCAGTCCCAACTGCCATAGTTAATCAAGGACTACCTGTACTCCCTCTTATTCCACTGTGGTTTTAGATCATAAATGTCTACATGTTAGTTTTTCACTACATGTTGGATTAGACAATATCAAATCATCTTACCTTCTATACCTAATCGAATCTTCTTAAGACCCCTTTCCTTCAGTACTGATTTGGCCACATCTCTGTTCTCAATATACTTGAAGAACCTATACAACTTTGTGCTATAAATAACTGGAGAGAAAACATATTTCATGAAGTGAATAAGCTATAGATACATTTCACCAGTACACAATAATGGTAAATAAAACAACTAATGCATTCTGAACCAATCTTAAAATATGCACAGTATTATTTATATTATCTAAGAATCCAGGTATTACAGGATTGAGGAGTGACCCAAGCATGGTAGTCCAGTCCAATATGCCTCCTGCACACTGACTACGCCTGCAACCTTGCACACTCAAGTGGAATATGTGATCATAAACCAAATATATTTACAATTCTCCAAATGACAGATTTGACAGGGGAACCTTGCATAAACAATGTACTCAATTGCCAGAAAAAAAATTAGGTATGTCTACTAAATCATGCATGTCTGCTCAACATAGAGTGATCAGAGGTAGAGCCAAAGCACATATGGATTTGGAGTTGGTGCTAGCATGCATAAACAACCTTGTACCTCTGTTTCATAAAACAGAGATGACTGCATTAGCTTAAAGTCTGATATATGAACCTTGAAATTTGCATTCTAAAAAAGCTTCTACAACACATTGCCACTTATATTTCTCATAAGGAGTTTAAAATGTAAGAAACTATGATGTAGTACAGTAGGAGTAAAAAAAAGTATTGCCCAAGAGACCCAACTGAATCCTTTTTGTGCGTCCTCAATACCCAGTATGAGTAGGGCCAAAAATTTAGACTCTTTTTATTGTATCGGGGGGGGGGAGCTAAAGAAGCAAAATGGATACATTAAGCTTGAAGATGCTTACAGAACCATTTTGAATTCCTGAATCCCCCTCCCAGAATAGTCCCTGACATTACCTATTTTTGGAGTACAGCCTTCAACATACCGCACAAAGCCTGATGCAGCCCTTAATCTATTGAAAGCTGATCATCCCTGCTCAATATTGATGCAGTACATGTATTTTAAAAATGCATGATTCAATTAATTATCTAGAAAAGAGAATGAGACATTTATGCTTCTTTTCTTTACAATTCAATTTGTGAATGAGTACTTTTCACTGTAGGTTTACTGAAGAACTGAAGGTTGCTTTAAGTTCATGGTTTGTTCTTTGGAAATGAGGCAGCACAGCTGCCTGATTAATTAATTAACTAAGCCCAGGTCTCAAAGCCAAATTCAACTGAAGGAGAACCAACTGACTTACTTTGTGAATATTCTTCTCCCATTTGAGGTGGGTACTCTTCATCCCAATCAACAACATCATCATCAGTGAGCACTACAATGTGGCACTCTCTTTCCCCACTCTGAGCACTGGCTACCATCAATGGCAGTATCATTTCTTCAAGGTAAAATTCAAACTGTTTCCGAGCACCATCATTTGATAATTCATGCATGAGAGCACCTGAAATCAATGCCATCAAATTCATTACTATCTGTTCAGAAAAATACCGAGCTGAATGTTAAATGAGCCACTATTACGTGATTCAATAAAAGTATTACCACCTTTGGCAAAACAAAGGTGCAACATCTCATGGTTCTTGTAACTGCTAAATTATGCTCAAATGTTTTAAATATGTTACCTTGGTATTTTCTAGGTTCTGGACTTGAAACAAGAAAATATCGAACTGCTGATGTTTATAAAGCATCTCTGACTTGTCTATAAAGTTAAATAAGCTGCACCAAAATAATGCAACACAAGAATTAACACACCAAGACCAAAATCATTAGTTCTGCAGGCACCCCAAAAGTCATGCCTAGCAAATAGTCAGGTACTTATTTGAGCAGGTAACATCCTCTAACTATTTTTCATTCTTCTAGTAGTAAGAAGTATCATACCGCCTATACTACCCAAAGAGCTTAAAGAATTGTATCTGCCACCCTTAATATACCAAACAAAATAGGCTAGTAATTTACCTGCTGCCCTGAGGTTATTTAAAGCAACAACACTGGCATAGATGCTCTCCGGGGACACTGGGTCCATATCTGACTTTGGCCCTCCGGAGCAAGTCTAATCTAAATTTTTAAACTCAGTGTCCCAGGTCCCCCACTGTGTCACAAATGCTACCCTACATCTAGAGGCTGCTGTGAGTAGAGGCTAAAATATGGATATTAATATTAAAATACTAGCTAAAAATATATTTTTGCCTACTAGGTCCAACCTCTTTAACTTTGGAGGATGGATTCCAGTCTGTTTGGAAGCAATCCCTGGTAGAGAAATTAGATGGTCTAGGACTCTATTCCCTCTTTATTTACTATCTTTGAGATTTGATCAGGCTAGCTCTGTGATGAAGCAGCAAATACCGAGAGCCAATTTGATGCAGTAGTTAAAGTGCTGACCTAGAAACCAGGAGACTGAGTTCTAAGCTTCCCTTAGGCATGAAAGCCAGCTCGGGCTTTGGGCCACTCACTCTTTCTCAACCCAACTCACCTCACAGCGTTGTTGTTGTTGTGTGAAAAATAGGAGGTAGGAGCATTAGGTATGTTCACCGCCTTGAGCTGGGTGACTGACTGACTGACTATCTACCTACCTATCTACCTACATACACACACATAGCCGCAGGAAAATAATAATAATAATAATAATAATCATCATCATCATCACCACCACCACCACCAGCAGGATGATCAAAGCAGTGCTCCAACCCTAGTATCAACAGCGCAGCCATAC